AACAAAGAAATAATGGATAAAAAGTGCTTTGCCTGAGAGTCAGAGATGGCTGGGCTTATGTTCCCCTGCCTGTCATGCATAGGCGCCACCTATGAGATGGAATCACAGCTCCACTCAACACCTCTACACCAAAACTATTTTTGTTATCTAATTCATCAAATTATTTTATATTTAATTAAACACTACAGCTTATGTGTTGAAAGAACCCAACAGATTTGGATTCTTCACTCATGTGACAAAGTGGGTGGCAGGGAGGGGCACAAGATGGAGAGACAAAGAGAGACAGGCTGGCAAGCAGTCAGAGACAGAGAGAGGTGAAGAGCTAAAGAAAGGAAGAGAAAGAGAGAGAGGAGAGACAAGGAGAGAGAGGGAGAGATAGAGAGAGACAAGGAGATAGAGAGACAGAGACAGAGAAGGGAGAGAGAAAGAGACAAGAGGGAGAGAGGGAGGTGGGAAGGGAAGAAGGGAAGAGAGGGGAAAGGAGAGGGAGAGAAAGAGGAGAAAGGGACAGAGAGATAGGGAAACAGAGACAAGCAGAGAAACAGACAGAGACAGGGAAAGAGACAGGTGGGCAGGCAGACAGAGAGAGGGAGAGAGAGAGAAGAAAACCAGGGACAGAGAGGGAGAGAGAGAAAATAGGATGCACATTTATTGCTTGCTATGTGCCAGTCACCGCTAAGCACAAGGGATACAAATACAAGCAAGCAAGATATGACCTCGCCTCAACAAGCTTACATTTTAATAAAAGAAAGCAAAATTCAAAGTTTTATTAGGTTCTTCTCTTATGAGGACATAAAAAAAAACATCACAAGGATAAACTTGTTATAGCTTCCTTTTTATGAAGCATGAATTGCCTGTTACTATTTTGGCATTCCTTTCTATGTGGACTGTTCACAATGATGAGGATATTGATTACAATATTAATAAAAGCAGCAAGTTACTTTTATGACATTAAGGTTTACAAGGAATTTTCTTCCCAAATAACCACATGAGGAAGGCAGTATGTGGATTCTTAACCTCATTTTACAGAGAGATAACTTAAGTGATCATGGTCATGCAGCTTGTGAGTATCAGAGCTGAGATTTGAACACAGGCCTCTTGACTCTCGTCAGTCAGTAGATAAACATTTATTAAGCACCTACTGTGTGCTAACCATTGTGTTAAGCACTGGAAATACAAAGAAAAGCAGTCTACACTCAGTACTTTTCCCTCTACATTATTTTGCTGTTCATTAGTAATGACAACACACATTTCTACAGCACATTAACGTTTACAAAGCACTTTCCTATAACAACTGTATGAAGACCTAGTATAAGCATCAAGTATTCCTTGCTCCATTTTTACAGATGAAAATATTAAGGCTCAGAATTAAGCTTAAGATAACATAAGGTAATGGCAGAGGCCATGTTCAAACCAAGGCTTCCTCATTACAGGGTCAGTTCTCTTGCCTAAAGAAAGAAAAGGGAATAAATACCTAAAATTTGTTCTCACTTCTCGATTTGCAAAGCAGTTTATATATTATCTCATTTAATAAGAAAATAACCTCATGAGGTAGGTGCTATTATTATCCCCATTTTAGAGCTGAGGAAATTAAGGCAGAGAGCTGTAACTTGCCCGGGTCACACAGCCAGTATGTGACTGAGGCAGGACTGACTCCAGGTCCAGCGCTCTACCCACTGAGCCAATACCTGGACCTGGAAGAAGGGTTGTTGATGTTTGTTGTTGCTGTTACTGCTGCTGCTGTCGCTGATAACAATGCCAGTGATGGTGGTGGTGGCCCTGACAATGGTCATGTTATTTAAGCAATGGAACCTTGTTGTTTTTGTTTTTGTTCTTTTTTCAGGCTAGATTTTTACTGGACTCAGTTTCATTTCTAGGATTTAAGGAGCATCAGGAAAAGCATCTCCAACAGTAGAGCCAGACTTCACTATAATTTTCAGTGAGCTTACTATCTCTAGGCCCCAGGTATTCCAAAAGCATAAATTTTCACAGCCCCTCAGCAGTAGGATAATTCATGAGTACCCATTGTAAAAATGGAGAGAAGAGCTAAACTGGGCTAAGGGCAGGAGAGTCACATAAGGACAGAGATCTGATCTTCTCCCTACCCCCGACCCCCGACACCAGTCGATTGTACAGATCTCTTGTCCTCTTCCTCTCCTCCACTCCTGCCCCTGGAGAAGACACTGAGCTGAACTAGGGAGACTGGGCCAAGCTGGGGTAGGCTATAGTTTACAGCACCCCAAATAACCCCTGAAGGGTTAACTCAAGACCTGGAAACCTAGACTACAACACGTGTGCCACAGCAGCATTGGATAAATAAAAAACATCATTTTTAGTCAATCACCAGGCAGTTAGGTGGCACAGTGAATATACACTGAACCCAGAATCAGGAAGACCTGAGTTCAAATACAGCCTCAGACACTTATTAGCTATATGTAAGCAAGTCACTTTACCTCTGTTTGCCTCAGTGTCCTCATCTGTAAAATGGGGATAATAATGGCCCTTAACTCTCAGGGATGTTGTGAGAATAAAACAAGATAATGTTTGTAAAGGCTTTTCAAAACCTTAAGGTGGCTATACAAATGCTAGTTATTACTATCGTCACCCTGGGCCAAACTGCTAAGTAGGCAAAGTTCTCAGTCTTTCCATTTTCCTCTTCCTCTCTCCTGACGTCAACCCTCTCAAGCTTATGCTCCCTCAGAACATTTTGTAGTTCAAAATACCCAATATTCAGAAATTTCTAAATCATCGCCTTCTTCTCCACCCCACCCCATTTTTCTCTGCTTGTTTGGCACTTCATAGACATAGCACCATTTTCTCATTGTAGCAAAAGTGATTGGAAAATAGGTATGAAGCATTTTGAGAGCTCCAAATGAACTACTAAAAGCTGCCACATATGTTAAATTCTACAAGGCAGGAAGCATGTGTGTGATGAGGCGATCAAAGGGGCTGTGGAGGTTGACACTAACTTGTATCTATGTCACATTGGAACGGTCTCTAACCAACCGGGGTCTCATTTCCTCGTTTGTAAAAGGAGTGACATAGTTTAGATGACCTCTTAAAGTTCTTCTACCTTTAAATCTATGATCTTATGGTCCTAAGATAAGGCTCCTTTTCAAAATCATACAATCTAGCTGTCATATTGTAGACAGGATCCCTGTTTTATCTGAAGTTTAGACTGGACAACTTCTGGAGTCCTTTCCAATTCAGAGATTCTATATAATCTCCTTTCTACCCTTCACCCCCATTGTAACACTATGTCCCAACTATTTTAAACATAAAGGACCAAATGCACATGATTTGAGAATAAGTTGCCTGTTTAAAGATGCTGGGTTTGTTTGTTGATTTAGTTGGAGTGGCAGCATTGCAGAGGTTCTGTCAGAAGATAAAAATTCCAAAGCTTGCTTTTTTGTGTGTGCAAGTGGTACAAGAAAAAGATACAAGAAAAAAAAATCAGTCAATGAATGGTGTCTCTGGGATGTATTTTAACATCTCTCATCAAATTCCTCTTTTCCTCAGTGCCTTGTAACTTCCATGGCTCTGAATTAAACAAGTCTTTTTAAAAAATATTTTTTAATGTTTTATTGATGTCTTTTTCTTTTGTATTGTTATCATTTCAGGATCTTCCTCCTGCTATCACTTTAGATTGAACCCTCTTTTATTACACAGAAAAACAAATAAGCAAAAGACCTGCCATATATCTGACAGTGTAAACAATACTCTGCCCCGGTGGTCCCTTGCCTCTCTGACTCAAAGAGGAACATGTAGAGGGATATGTTGGTAAATGTTTAACAACCAGTTCCTGGTGGAGGTGGGGAGAGGTAGCGGAAAGTGGGCAGGGGTTGTCGACCTAACACACTTTTAGGTTTAAAATGCATTATTAACATTTTCTTCATCACTTTCATAAGTCCAGATAATCAACAAAACAATAAATCAAGCCCTGATTCATAGCATTCGTTCATTTCTGATAGTGTAAACACTCACCACAAAAATTTAATAATCAGCTCTACTGACTCTAGCTCACCTCTAGAAAACCATTTCATTATCTGTTTCCCTACACCATTATCGGGTTTTCAGTTGCCCATTTTAGTGATCTTTTCATTGCCACAGTCATCATGTATGCTATGACAGCTGTCCACCATGCCTAGAATGTTCTCCTTCTGACCTCAGACTCTTAGGATCCTTGGCTTCCTTTGAGATTCAAATTCAAGGTATCCATCCTGCAAGAGGCCTTTGCTGATTCCCTCTCTTTCTCTACCTCCACCTGCTAGCCCCCTCCAAGGTACCTACTATCTACTCTGTACTTGTCTTGTAGATACTGATTTATGTATGTGCTGGCTCCCGAGAAGAAGGGCAAGGGCAGAGACTGCTTAGCACAGTTCCTGGAACATAGTAGGCACTTAGTAAATGCTTGTTGAGCGACTAACTGCTTGATTGATTTGATTGATTGTCAAGACACACACACACACACACACAACACACACACACACACACACACCATCCAAGCAAGGAAACAGATTTTAGTCAAGAGACAAAACATAAGAGAGTACTCATGGTCTAATAATCAAGCACACGGGCTATAGAGAGTTGATTTCAACAGCAACCCATTGGCTTTTGTCTCTTCTTCTATAACATCATCAGGAGGGCACACTATGGTTGGAAAATATTTTGGTTTGCTTGTTTTATAACAGTGGTGACATTGAGCCATGAACATTCTCTTGCCTGCTGTCCTTGTTACCAATAGCCATTCCCTTAAAAGTGACTGGCCTTGAAGGTATAATTCATCTAGTCATATTATTTCCTAACTGTGCTCCCTTCTTATATCATATTTGCTAAGGCAACTCTGCCTGCTCCATTTTCTTTTACCGGCACTCTCTGCATTCTCGGTCCTCAACATTATCATCTGGTATCTGCCAGAAATAAACATTTTCCCAAACACATCTATAACACTTATGTGGAAGCAGAAACAAAAACAGAGACATCAGAATGAACTGCCTTACCTTGTACAAATGAGATACCCAGAGCTGAGGCCATGAAAATGACGTGAAGGAACACTTCATTTTTATACATGACTGGAGATGTCTTCATATCAGATGCATATCAGGAGGGTGCATATGAGTCACTTCGTGCCCCAAGCTCTTCACTGGTGGCTCTGGTTGCATGCCTCAGCTGAGGCTCAGGAGTACAGACAACTGAGAAAAGAGAGGCAGTAAAGAGGGAAATAGGAAGAGTTCAGGTGCTTCAGGGGTAACACAAACAAACAGAAATAGCATGGCACTCTCTCCTGTGGTTTTAGCTGCTTCTCAAAGCTAATGCTCATTTTCAAAAGCTCCCACCTGCAAAGCAGATTCAGCACATGACTTACTTCTTTCCTCTCAGCTACTTTTTAATCTTACTTTGAAGTTTTCTTAGTTTTGTTAGTGAAATGAAGTGATAAAGCTTTAAAGAAATCTATATGATTTCAAACTTTAGGTTGAGATTTTTAATCTAAGAAAGATCAGGAAATATAAGTTGAAGAATCCTCCCCCCATTTTCACTACTGCAACCTGTGCTTCTGAAACAGCTTCCATTTGATAGCCTCGTTGGTTTTTTGTTTTGCTTTGTTTTGGGTTGTTGTTGTTGTTGTCTTTTTTCCCCCCCAAACGTCAGGTCGTTAACACATACCTGAAATATATACTTGATAAATGATAGTATCACTGCCAGTGGAAGAAGTAAACAATTAAGTGGGTTATAAATTGTGGTAAATCAAATGATGGGAAGTACTTCCTTGGCTGGAAATCAAATCAATATAATAACAACCTCCTTGCTATTGATATTCAGCAGTTTCAATTATATCTGACCCTTTGTGACTCCATTGGGACTTTCTTGGTAGAGATACTGGAGTGGTTTACCATTTCCTCCTCCAGCTCATTTTACAGATGAGGAAACTGAGGTAGAGTTAAGTTACTTGCCTAAAGTCACATAGCTAGTAAGTATCTGAGGCTGGACTTAAACTCAGGCCTTCCTGACTCCAGGCTGGGTACTCTATCCACTGTATCACCTAGATGCCCACTACCAACAAAAATAATAATAGCATTTATATAGCACATTAAGGTTTGCAAAGAACTCTAAAAATTTTATCTCATTTTTTCCTCATAATATACCTGGGAGGTAGGTGCTATTATTATGCTCATTTTATAGATGTCAGTCAATAAACATTTATTAAGTCCCTACTAAGTAATGAGGAAACTGAGGCTGAGAAAGGTTGAGTTACCCAGAATCACTCAGCTATTAAGTATCTGAGCTGGATACGAACTCAGGTCTTCCTGACTCCAGGTCCAGCATTCTATCTACTATACCACCTAGCTAAAGCTTTGATTTCTGTAGGTAAATGTGAATGTGACAATAACATAAATTTCCATGAAGTGAGACAATGTGGTGCAATAGGTACAACACTGGCTTTGGAGTCAGAGAATCTGGGTTCAAATCCCAGCTAGTGACTTTAGAGCTGGACTTTTATGTCTTTGAGCTTCATTTTCTTCATCTATAAAAGAATGTAGGATTATATTATCTATAAGGTCCCTTCTAGCTTTAAATCTGTGATCACTGCTGATACTAAAATAACAGGTATTATACTATTTGTAAATAAGCTGTAGACTGAGCATTTAACTTATTTTTATTTTTTAAATTTATTTTATTTATTTGTTTTTAGTTTTCAACATTCATTTCTGTATGATCTTGAGTTCTAATTTTTTCCCCCTCCCTCTGCTCCCTTCTCCCCAAAATGGCATTCAATGTGATATAGGCCATACATGTACAGTCATATTAAACATATTTTCACATTAGTCATGTTGTAAAGAAGAATTAGAGCCAAAAGGAAAAGCCACAAGAAAGAAGAGAGAGAAAGAGAGAGAGAGAAGAGAGAGAGAGAGAGAGAGGAGAGAGACAGAGAGAGAGAGAGAGAGAGAAAGGAGAGAGAAGCATGCTTTGATTTGCGTTCATACACTACAGTTCTTTCTCTGGAGGTGGATTGCATTTTCCATCATGAGTCTTTTGGAGATGTCTTAGATCTTATATTGCTGAGAAGAGCTAAGTGTATTGAAGTTGTTCATTATACAATGTTGCTATTACTGTGTACAATGTTCTCCCAGTTCTGTTTACTTCACTCAGCATCAATTCATGTAATTCTCTCCAGGTTTTTCTGAAGTTTGCCTTGAGCGTTTAATTTTTTAAAGATTTCATCTCCTTATATTTTATCTCTCTCATTTCCAAGGATCTCCCTCCCCCAAACCAACTCAGAAAGCCATCCTTGTGACAAAAAATGAAAGAGGAAAAGAAAATTAGTTCAGTAAAACTGACCAATACTGAAACCAAGGATATGCAACATTCTACATTCATTGTCTCCCACCATTGCAAAGAAGAATAGCACATTTTCTCATTTTTTCTACAAGGCCAAGTTGATCATTATTATTCTATAATATTCAGTTTAATTTTTTTTCCATTTACAAGGTCATAGTCATTTTGCATATTGTTTTTCTAGTTCTGCTCACTTTACTTTGTATCAGTTCATGTCTTCCCATGTTTCTCTGTATTTGTCATATTCATTTTTTTATAGTGAAGGAATATTCCATCGCATTCCTAGGAATCAGAGAACCTGGGTTCAAATCGTACCTTTAGTAAGTCATGTAACTTTGCTTAGCCTCAATTTCCTTATCTGTAAAAAAAAAAAAGAAAAAAAAAAGAAAAGAGTTGGACTAGATGGCTTCTAAGGTCCCTTCCAATGATCCTGTGTACCATAATTTGTTTAGCCAATGCCAATTCCCCAGTTGATGAGTATACATTTTGTTCTAGTTCTTTATTACTACAAAAAGTACTACTTTAAGTATTTTGGCACATACAGAGCATATGTAGTAATTTTGATTTCATTGAGGTATATGCCTAGCAGTGAAATCTCCAGGTCAAAGAATGTGACATTTTAGCCACTTTCTTAGCATAATTCCTAGTTGTTTTCAAGAAGTATTGGGTTGTAAAGAGATTTTTTAAAAGGAAAAGGATCTATTTGTACAACAATATTTATAGCAGCTCTTTTTGTGTTGGCAAAGAATTGGAAATTGAGAGGCTGCCTGTCAACTGGGGAATGACTGAACAAGTTGTGGTATATGATTGTGATTATTGTACTATAAGAAATGATGAGCAGGAGGGTAGAATGAGAAGAGTTTATACAATGATACTGTTATAAAGAAAAACAACTTTGGAAGACTATAGAACTCTGATCAATGCAATACCATTAGTCCAAAAGAATGAAGGTGAAATATAACTCACCTCCTGGCAGAGAGGTTATGAACTTAAAATGTGGAACCACACATTTTTTGGACTGGTTAATTAGGAACTTGTTTTGCCAGACTATGTAGAAATTTGAGTGATTTGTTTTTAATTTGATGAATGGAGGAGGAGGCAAGGAGAGGGAAAGATAAATTTTTTAAATTATTTGTTACTTGAAACAATAAAATAATATATATTTATTACATAAAAATAAAATTAAAGGACTAGGAAGATTTTTTTAAAAGACAATGGTAGGAGAAGATTCTGGGAAGATGGTGGAGTAGGTCAGAAAACTTTTGGCTCTCCAAATCTCCTCCAAAAACAAAACAAAACATGGAACAACAACTCAGAGCAGCAGAAATAAACACAAGGTGAAGCAGCTGTCCTCCTAAGGCAGTTTGAGAAGACCCCCCAGGCCTGAAAAAACGTGCAAACACCTCCAGGTCAGCTCTGCAAAATCCAAACCCTGGGGACAGCTGGGTTTAGATGCAGCCTCACCCTTAGAAACTTTCATCTCAGAAGACTCTGTGTGTGTGTGTGTGTGTGTGTGTGTGTGTGTGTGTGTGAGTGTGTGTGTGTGTGTGTGAGTGTGTGTGTCTTTTGAGGGGGGAGGTGGGTCCTGAAGGCTGAGCAGGCAAAGATTGAAGGACCTTCCACTGTGGAGGGATCCCAAGCACAGTTGTGCTGACCAGATGAGACCAAGGCTGTGGCTACAGGGAGGAGTAAGCATACATCTGGTGAATGCATTAGCAGAGAAGCTGTACCTGTTGGCTGTGGGCACTTGCAGGAGAGCAGAGTCCCTGGTTTCAGTTCCGGGGCAAAGAGAAGAGCTGTACTTTGCAGGTTGGGACAGACTGAAACAGACCTCAGAAAATAACAGTAAGTCAAGGGAAAAAATGGTCATTCAATGAAATAGGGGACTTTCAAGTATTCCTGAGGAAAAGATCAGAGCTGAATATAAAATTTGACTTTCAAATACAAGACTCAAGTGAAACATGGAAGAGGTAAACAGGAAAGAGAAATCATAAGAGACTTATTAAGGTTGAACTGTTTACATTTCTGCAGGGAAAGATGATATTTGTAACTCATGAGTCCTTTGTCAGTATTAGGGTAGTGGAAGGGAAAAAATTATATGTATGTATGTATAGATAGATAGAAGGCACAGGGTGAGTTGAAGATGAAGGGGTGATATCTGGAAAATAAAATAAAAGGGTGAGAGAGGATTATACTGGGAGAAGGAGAAAGGGAGAAGTAGAATGGGGTAAATTATCTCACATAAAACAGACAAGAAAAGGCTTTTACAGTGGAGGAGAAATGGGGGAAGGTGAGAGGGAATGAGTGAATCTTATTCTTATAGGATATGGCTTAAGGAGGAAATAACATACACAATGGGGTGTGGAAATCTATCTTACCCTACAGGAAAATAAGGGGGGAAGGGGACAAGAGAGCAGGGACTTGATAGAGGGGAGGGCATATTGGGGGAGGGGATAATCAAAAGAAAACACTTCTGAGGAGGGACAGGGTCAAAAGAGAGAATAGAATAATTGGGGGGTTGGATAGGATGAAGGGAAATATGCTTAGGTTTTCACAACATGACTATTATGGAAGTGTTTTGAATGACTACACATCTATAACCTGTATCAAGATGTTTGCCTTTTCAATGAGGGTGGGGGGGAGGGAGGAAGGGAGAAAATTTGTAATCCAAAGTTTTAAAAACACATGTTAATAATAAAAAAATAATAAAAATTTTAAAAAAAGAAAATAACAGTAAGAGGACCTAAGGCTTGGGCATCATTCCCCAGACCTCAGGACTGCACTAATAGCTGCTAAATTAAAAAAAAAAAAAGTAAAACAAAAAATGAATAAATAAAAATGAGTAAGCAAAGTAGGAAGAACTCAACCATAGATAGTTATCATGGAGATAAAATTTGGGTTGATATTCAGAAGAAGATAATAGGGCTAAAAAAAGGCCACTTCTTTTTCAACGAGACATGTCAAATGGTCTCAAGCATAAAAAGAGTTCCTGGAAGAACCTAAAAA